CCCTCCCTCCCTCCCTCCCTCCCTCCCTCCCTCCCTCCCTCCCTCCCTCCCTCCCTCCCTCCCTCCCTCCCTCCTTCCCTCTCGCTCTCTCGCTCTCCGCCCCCCCAAGAAATAAACTTTGGAGGGAAATGAAACCCTCAATTCACTGTGTTTATTGCAAACATTAATTCCACTTATGGGTGAGATGCTTTTAACTAATCCACTTGTGTGGGAACACTGTGTGTGTCACGTGCAGCCGTGTCCACCTGAATTCTGACTAATTGCACTGGCTTTTAAATGTCCCCATCTGCTACAATAGCCTTCTCTTTAAAAGGTGCAGGGCAGTTGATCATATTGTGTGATTAAGACAGCTGAATCTCACAATGCTGACTGCATGGTTCAGGGCTCAAACCCAGCAGTTTGAAAAGCAAAGCTGGGCATGTGTGCCTAAAATTCCAAAAGGAGGGAGGAGATGGAGGAGAAGGGATTGCAGCATGACCATTTCCCATGGAGGAAAGTGCTTTCTTACTTTCCTTCTCTCTCTCTGTCAAGCACTCATGCCCCTAGCAAACTTATGTATATGTATATATGGGTCAGAGGCCTACTGCCTAAGATGTGGGTGAGGGTCAGGATAAGACAAAGAGGGCACAATAAGAGGAAGCTAACCCACTCTCACCTGAAAGCTCCCAGCAGCACAAGAAGAAGTAACTCCCCCCCCCTCACTCTACGTGCTGCTTATGTTGAGGTAAGGCTGCTCCTTCTTGCTCAGGTCTACCTTGAGGCTGTGTGCACACCCTAGGAACGAGTCCCCATTCCAGCTAACACAGGCAGCAGCTGAGCATGGAATGAGCTCCATCCCTGCGGCCTCTCTAGGGTTACGTATTCTCTGCACAGAACTTCCCCCGTCAAGCCTAAGCCCCACGACCCGTACATTTGATTTCTTTGCATTTCTGTAATTATCTCTAGCTGAAATGGCATCCTGAACATGGTAGAAAGTTTAGTAAAGGTGTATATTAAATGAAAGAGTTCATCATTCAGAGTTATAGTTTGTCAATGACGAGTCACACCTCCCCCAATTAGGAGTCTTAGATCTGGCCCTAACTTGAAAAGAGCAGTCACTTCATATCTCTGGGCCTCAGAATTCCACTCTGTAAAAAGAGAGGGTATAAACCAATGATATTTAATGTTATTTCCAGCATTATTCAGCTATGATTCTTGAAAACATTATTAAATGTTCAAGTGTGTTCTTTTCCTCTGTGTCTTTAATGAGAATTATTACAGAAGAGTCTAGTTTCCCCCGAAACGATGAAATAACTGTGCATTTTCCCACCCTAAATCTTTTAAAAGTACAAATGATAAAGGTCTACAAAATGAATGTACTATCTTCAACTAATCATAATTTCATAATTTACACTGCCATTATTTCTAAGTAAGAAGCCTCCTGTCTATGTTTTAACGCTAGTGAGAAGAATTTAACTACAAAGAAAACCACCAAAAACTCGCTGGCCTTGAACTCTATGCAATTCTATAATTCAGTGCCTGCTTTCGTTTTCAACATTGAACTACGTATTCAGAAAGAGAAGACTGCTGTTTCTTTTTAATCAAAATTTAGAATTAGAAACACTGGAATTAAAAAAAAAAAAAACACTAAAGTTGAGGCAGTAACCAGGCCATGCATATTAATAACTACTTAGGTCAATACCATTTATAATCCTTTTTTAAAACTGAGTCTGCCACTTGAAACAAAGGAAGGCAAGAACAGCATGGTTCCATAGGATTTTCAATAACCAATGTGAGCAAAAAAAATACAAAAGGAACAAACTAATAGTACTATTACATTATATAAAAAATAATAGGCATAAAGCTGTAAGTCACAAGAATCAAGAAGATCAATGCACAAAAATCGTTTTCTATATATTGAGCAATAAAAATAAAATTAATTTTATTTGTATAAAATTAATTATAAAAATATAAAAATAAAATTGGGGGGAGCTGGCAGATGTCATAGGGTTACATCACTGAACTCCCACATGGCCAACCCTGATTTGAGTGCTGGACCTAATGGCTTGAAACTCATGCCGGCTGTGTGTACATGCGTACCCAAGATACCAGGAGGAGAATGAAGGAGAAGGGGTTATGGTATGGCTATCCCTCCTGGGGTGCAATTTCTCACTTTCTCATTGTCACTGTCTTTCTCTGGCAAGTACATGCACCTTTAAGTAAAGACCTCTGGAAAACAATAAATAAAAATTTTTAAATATATTATTTATATTAACATTGAACAACATAAAATTCATGGGAATAAATTTGGCAAACGATGTGCAAAATCTTTACACTCAGAACTGCAAAACATTTCTGATAGAACTTAACAAAACAAAAATAGATATAGGATATTCATGGATTGGAAGACTCAATATTTTGATGAAACGGAATAAATTGTTTCTAAATTGATCTATGGATAGAATTCAAACCCATTCAACATTTCAACATAATCTGTTCTATACAGAGATTCACAAGATTATTTTAAAATTTATACAGAGATGCAAAGAATTTCAAACAGTCAAACAATCCTGAGAAAAAAGAACGAAGTTGGAGAACTTGAGCTTCCTCATTTCAAAATGTCTTCAATGCTAAAAAAACTAATATAGTGTATAAGGGCATGAAAACAGACAAGGAGATTCATGGAAGAGAATTAACTGTTCAGAAACAGAGTCACACAATCAACCAATTTTCAGTAAAGGTAATTGGTGGAGACCATGCAGCCAACACAGGCAGAGGCTAGAGCAGGCCTCTGGCAGGTAATAAAAGACTTCAATGAGAAAAAGTAAATATTTTAACATTTCGTTGTAGTCCTCACACCATACACGAAATAAATTCTAAATACATCATAATTCTAGACACAAAGGCAAAAGCTATGAAATTTTGTGGAGAAAACATGTACGAATATATTTGATCAGGCCAGCAAGTGGCATGGAGATTAAGGCACTGGATCTCACGGTCTGAGTCTCAGATCTGGTGGTTTGAGAATCATGCCAGGCACATGCGTGTGTTTGTCCAAAATCCCCAAAGGAGAGTGGAAGAGAAAGTATTGTGGCATGGTCACAATATACATATACCTTCCCCATGGGGGGTTTATTTTTCACTTTGCCTCTCTCTCTCTCATGAGTGCATGTATCCTATAGAAAAACTTTTTTAAAAAAAGAGAGAATATCTTTTGTCATGAGCATTGTGAAAGATTTTTTTAGATACAAAATACAATTTTTTTAAAAAAGATAAATTAGACATCCATCATTTAAAAGTGTCTGCTCATCAAAAGACTTAAGAAAATGAATAGTCAAGTCACAGACTAGGAAAAAATATTCAGAATACATATATCTGACAAAGAATGTGTATACATAATACTGCTCACTAATAAAAAGGCAAACACAGGCCAACCAGGTGATGTGGTGGTTGAGGCAGCTGGATCCCACATACTCAGTAATGCAACTAGAGTGCCAGATTCAGAAGCTTGAAAAACATGCTGGGCAAGCATGCATGCATGCCCAAAATCCTGAGAGAAAAACTGGAGACGAGATTGCAGCATTACCATCCCCCTTAAGGGGTGCTTTCTCACTCTCCACCCTCCATGAGCACACATGCTTTATAGAAAATAACATTTTTTTAAAAAGGGTGCAAGCTAATTTTTTAAAAAATAATGAAAGGAATAGATAGTTCACAAAGGAAAATATACAAATGACCGACAAGGACATTAAAAGTTAGGCATTAGAAAGCTGTCAACATGAAAATGTAAATTAAATCCATAGCAGAATTCCTCCTATATCCAATTAAATAGCTTTTAAGACTGACAAAAGCAAATGTTGGTGGGAACCAGCAGTTAGCGTAATGGCTATGTCGCTGGACTCCCAGGTAGTCGACCGCAGTTTACGTCCCGGACCCGGTAGCTTAAAACTCACGCCAGGCGCGTGTGCGTGCGTGCCCAAGATCCAGAGAGGAGAATGGAGGAGAAGGGATTGCGGCGTGACCATCCCCCCTGGGGGTGATTTCTCGCTTTCTGTCTCTATGTCTCTGTCTGTCTGGCAAGCGCACGCGCCCTATAGTGAAAACCTCTCCCCCCCCCCCAAAAAAAAGCAAATGTTGGTGAATGTATGGAATTCTTTTGTATTTTGTTTTTTATTTTAGGTTTTTGCTATAGGTTGCATGCATTCGCCAGAGAGAGAGAGAAAGTGAGAAGAAACGGAGAAACCCCCCCCCCCGCCCCCGAGGGACATGGCCATACCATAATTCCTTCTCCTCCTCCATTCTCTTCTCTGGATTTTGGGCATGCATGCCTAAGTGCCTGGTGTGATTTTCAAACCGCTGTTTCAGAGATTCAAACTGTAGTCATCCACGTGGGAGTCCAGTGCTTTAACTGCCATGCCACCTGCTGCCACACACCTCTCCCTCCCCTCACCGTGCATAGGGAATTCTTATACATTGCTTTGGGAAATGCAAAGTGATAGAGCTACTTTGGATTTCAGCAGTTTTTTATTGAGTTACAAATACATGCAACTTATGACCCAGCAATTCTACTACTAAATATTTGCTACAAGAATTAAAACATATGTCAAAACACAAGATAAAAAGAAAAACTAAAAAGATTTATATGAAAATATTCAGGAAAGCTTTATTCAAAATGGCTCTAAAACAATCCAGAGCTGTCAAGAACAAAATGGGTAGACAAACTATAGAATTTTTGTTAAGAGAAAACTATTCAGGAATAAAAAATGTGTCTATTTTTGCTTCATTAGTTATAAATGGAAAAATCCCCAAGATAATATGCTATGCAAAAGAAGCTAGACATATAAAAAAATAAGTACTGCATGGCTCTTTTACAGGAAAGTTTAGACAGTCAAGCTAATCTATTGGGTTGTGGGAAAGTCATGACATATTTGTCTATGTAAAAAAACATGTCATGACTTTCCCAACAAGTCAATACGAAGAAGAAAACAAAACAAAACAAAACAAACAGAAAATCCTGGAACAGAGAAATGAAGTGAGTAAAAAAGGGCACAAGGCAATTTTCCCATGATGGAGAAGTTACTTATCTTTATCGGGGTTCATGTTATACAGGTATGTGCATTGCCAAAATTCATCGAACTACAACACTTAATAGCTTAGCATTTCACTGTACATAAAAGGTACTTCATTTTTAAAAATTGAAAGATTTGAATCACAAGTAATTTATGATCAAAATGACTCAATCATGACTCATTTAAAAATGAAAATGATTGACGTGGGAAGAATACAGGATTGAGGTCACAGGGGGGATGCTTTCTCTACGTACTTTTTTATTCAGCAATTACTGACAATACCTACTGTGTCTGCCACTATTCTCGTTGTTTTGAAAACATTAGTGAGCAAAACAGACACAGACATCAGCTTTCAAGTTGCTAACAAGTTATACGGGAGTAGGGGAAAGACAGAAAATAAGAAATAAACATAATGAATAAATAATGCAGCGTTTAAACACATGAGACATGCTAAGAGAGTCGGGAAAAATCAGTCCTCCTGCGGCCCTGCCATGCCATGCCCCAGCTGCCTGATACCACCTTTTAAAAGTTATGGATATGCCTGTATTTCCTGATTAGCATTTCTGCCTTTTAATAATTGATTAAGCTTGCATTAGAATGATTCCAGGAATAGGTGAGATGTGTGTGTCTGTGTGTGCGTGTGTGTGTGTGTGTGTACATGTTTAAAAAGGCTAGGTTTATGTAATGCTCTTTGTTGAAGATGATGAATATGGTAATAACCTTGATTTGATTATCACACACTGCATGCATGCTTGGAAAAACCATATTGCTCTCCACAAAGATGTACAATTAGATGTAAAGAAGAAGTTTTAAAATAAATTGTTGTAAAAAAGTGCTAGGTTACCATAGTTGCTTCATTTCTCAAGCTTTTGCAATATTTAGTGCTTGAATAAATAGCAGGATGTCACCTGGGGTGGGTGAAAAGGTTGGTTTCAAGGACGTTGCGTTCAATGCTAATCACAGCCCGTGTGCTCCTGAGTCACAGTCACATTGAGCGATCAACTCAAAGAGCGGCCTCTTTGTCTTCTGTATAAAAGACAAGCTGCTCAAATGTTTCAGAATTCAGACACCCAGGTCATTAAGATGTAGTTGTACATAAAAGATGCAGCACTGATAATTCAAAATAGACAAGAAGAATGTGCTCACAGAATAATTCTTCTTCGAGTCATATTACCTGGCACACAACATAAATAAAGCTCTATTTTTCTCCTTCAGTGCCCTGCCGTGAAGGAGTCACTGAGCCAGCTCGTTACCTGCCGGCAACAGCCGAGTTGTGGGTAGGCCTTCAGCTATGGAGAGACTTTCTATAATTTTTAAAAAGACATCGACTAAGAACGTAAGAAACCTCTTCTCAAAAGCAAAAGCACCAGTGACTCAAGAGCTTCAGCAATGAGACTTATCTAATAAAATGAAACATTATGCCCTCTGTTATTCCTCTATAGCTAAAAATGATAGGCAAAAGTTCAAGTGTTCTTAATGTGTGTTCTTACTTGTTTTTAGTCATTTATCTTGGGAAAAGTCAGTCTCTCGTCAGGTCTGTAGAGGTTGGCAGAGAACCCACGGTAGCACAGGGAGCTTCCATGATAACATATTCAGTGGTGGTCCACAGCTTGCTTACATACGTGCATACGCATGGCTATGCATGCATACATGACTGCTCACAGGAGATGCCTTCTTACCACTACAATGCCACTCATCTGGCCAGTTCCAACTCAAGTCTTTTCTCTGGCTAAAGTGTCCCCCAGTCAACATTCAGAAGTGACCTGTGCCTCCCTTCAGGTCATGTGTCCAGAACTGTCCCAGGTCATTTGTTATTGCAATGGTCCCACTTCAAGGTTTACAGTCAGGTTAGTGGAATGAGAACTAGAGCTCTACATGCAGGACCTGGTGTAACCCAGGCTGCATGATCAATACTGATTTGTAAATTTTATACACAGTATACAGCTCTTACAAATGACAGTTCCCTGGCCATCCCATAAAAGCATATCTGACCCATACCAGACCTGAGTTATGGACTGAAAAGTGCTCTTGGTATTATTATTTTTCAGAGAAAATGCATTTTCTCAGAAAAACACAGTATACAATTTTATTCTACTACACTGCCAACATCAAGTTGATCAAAAATATTTCAGTAATAGCAAAGCACTGACAAGGTTGTTAAGCATGAAATATTACATTAAGTCCCACTAATTGGTCTGTTTCCTGAGGAGTCCACAGGACTGACCCTGCCCTATGGTTCCCAAGTCTCCGCTCAGCCTGTTCTGTGACACCTCACGTGAACTTGGAATGCTGCATGGTTTCCAGCAGCAACCTCTCAGGTGGGGTAAGGGGAGCCAGGTATTGACTACATAAGAACACACAACCTCATTTTACTTCAATATCCTAGACGTTTCTATCAGTGGGGCTTGAGCTTGTGTCAAGTCAGTAAGTAGAGTCAGTTTTCTTTATAGTTTGGCTGAATTTATAAAAGCACAAACTTTTCAAATAAGAGGACATTATTTGGCCTCTTTAGCATCTCCACTCATACTGTTCACCTAGAAAGTATTCATGAGGGAAGGCGTTTAATGGCACCACTTAAGGAAAAAATCTGGCACACAGATGGGTGCCTTTGATCTGAAAAAAAAAAATCAACAAAATTTGGAAACAAACACTCTGAAACAAAAGAGATTATAATAATTAAGATAAATCTAGTTTTATGTTCATTTCTTTTCTTTCAGATGAACCTGACTTTTCCCTCAATAATCAAAGCAATAAGAATCAACATCCCAATTGGTGAAAACACAATCCGTTCTCTGAAAATCCATTTTGTGTAGAAGTTAGAAGCGTTGTTCTTACCTCTCAGTTCCCCCATGTCCAGGGTCGTCCCCAGTTGTTCTAATAAAGCAACTCTCGCTGCATTCTTTTTGTGTTTCTTTCCATCATAATGTTGCTGGGCCATCAGGGGATTATTGAACCAGGCTGCACAGAGCCCACAATATCTGTCGGAATCTCTTCTCTGATAGGGAGACGTTACCACCGGGGCAGGCTCCACCCGCGGGGGCTTCAGTGAGCTCAGGGGCGTAGCTGTGAAAGACAACAACCAGAGAACCAAAGGCAGTGTTAGTCCAGTTAGCCTTTCGTCAGACAGTCCCTAAGAGGAGAGTGCCTCACAAAAATATGATCTTTGCCAGACTTTATTTGAGTTGGGACACAACTGAAAATTCCCAACTTACTAAGTTCATGTTTGTATATTGTTATGCCAAACCTGATAACTCAAGAAATCATCAAATAAAGTTTTTGAAAATAAACGTTTGGAGAGAAGGAGGGACCTATTAGTCAAACTAAAACCAATACTTGAAGTAAACATTGAACAATCATTGCTTGAAAGATAAGGAGTGAAAAAATTGGATATTTGTGTGCTATCAACGGTAATAACCCATAAAGAAAGGAATTTTTTTTTGAGAAATTTTTGCTATAGTGTGTGTGCTCATTAGAGAGACAGAGAGAGACAGAGACAAAAATAGAGAAGTCACCCCCATAGTGGATATGCACACCATGATCCCTTCTCTTCTATTCTCCTCTCAAGATTTTAGGCACACATGCACACATACCCAGCATGAGTTTCAAGCTGCCAGGTCTGAGACTTGAACCATGGTTGGACATGTGAGAGTCCAGCACCTTAACCACTACACCACATGCTGACTTCAAGAAATAATTTTAAGTGATAGAATCTTTCAGTGACACGAATTATACCAATTAAGAAAAAAAAGATAATTTTATCGTAAGTTGCTTCTGTTTATTGTGATAGGTTATCTTCAAATTAGATCTGCTAAAATTAAAGTCGAAAGTACATTTCTTTTAAAAAACTAAAAGAGGGACCAGCATTTGGCATAATGGCTATATCGCTGTACTCCCATGTAGTCGACGGTAGTTCGAGTCCTGGACCCGGTGACTTAAGCTCATGCTGGGCATGTGTGTGTGTGTACCCAGGATCCCGAGAGGAGAATGGAGGAGAAGGGATTGCAGCGTGGCCATCCCCCTGAGGGGTGATTTCTCACTGGGGGCCAGAAGGTGGTATGGTGGTTAAGGGCACTGGACTCCCACATGGCCAACCGTGGTTCAAGTCCCAGACCAGACCTGGCGGTTTGCTTTCTCACTTTCTCTCTCTCTCTCTCTCTCTCTCCCCACCACCCCAGTCAAATTAAAAGTAAATAAATAAAGTTAAATAAAATAATTCTTAAAAAAAAAAAAAACTAAAAGAAAAACACTACGAAGATGTTGCTTATCTTCCACTTCTAGCCCAACACCCCGCGAAAAGCCAGAAACCATTTGAACTGTGAGGCCTTTGTAAATATCCAGTTCCAATGACAAAAGTGCAGGTTGCTTGACGAGGATCAGGGAAATGCAACTGCAGAAATAATTCAGACCAGCTTCTTCTGCACACCTCCAACACTCAGAAATAACTCCAAGAAGGTAGGAAGTAATGTATAAAACATCAGATGACCAGAAACCATCACCACCAGAGAGGCACAAGAACTATGGGAAATCAAGAAAATCTCTCTCCCCCAAGGGGAAGGAACAGCCCTTCATCCTCCACAGACAGTACAATAGAACTCATGGAAATGTCAGATAGAGATTTTAGGATATTCATGGTGATAAAGCTAACAGAGATGCAAGAGAAGAGCGACAACGAACTCCAGAAAATGCAGGAGAAAAGAGACAACGAGTTCCAGGAGGTGAGGAAGTTCTTCCACGATCTGAAAAAGGAAATACACATCATAAGAAAGAACCAGACGGAACTGATAGAGAGGAAGGCTGTAATACAAGAAATCAAAATCTCCCTTGAAAGTATTAAAAGTAGATTCGATCATGCAAAAGATCGAATCTCAGAGATAGAAGACATAACCTCTGACCTAGATTCACAAAAATGACTGAGAAAACAACCCCCCAGATGAGACTAATATACAAATAATACTAGACACCATTAGATGCACAAACATCCAGATAATCGATATCCCAGAAGGTGAAGAAACTCATCAGGGCATTGATAATCTGCTCCATGTAAGAAAACTTTCTAAACCTAGAAAGGCCTTCAAATATCCAGACCCAAAAAATACAAAGGACAAAGGACCTGACATAGAATCAATGCAAGAAGATCTTCTCCAAGGCACATCATAGCCAGTTTGACCAAAACCACAGAGACAAGATACTAAAATTGGTAAGAGAGAAACATCAAGTTACTTTCAAAGGATATCCCATCAGGTTAACATTGGACCTCTCATCAGAAACAATGCAAACGAGGAAAGAATGGTAAAGTATCTTCAAAAGTGAAAAACAATTTCAAGCAAAAATACGATATCTGGTAAGACTATCTTTCATATGGGAAGAAAAGATAAAAACATTCTCAGATAAAGAAAACTTGAAAGAATTTACCAATACCAGAGCAGTTCTTCAAGAAGTTCTGAAGGGAGTACTATACCAGGAAAACTAAAGACAGACAGAGAAATAAGAGAACAAATATGACCCAAAAAAGGCCAACTTAATGGTAGGGACATGTTCTGAAATATCAATAATAATGTTGACTGTTAACAGAAAGGTCAGACCACAGTAACACTGCAAATTCAACAAAAGAGATTACAGGAGACTGAACTGGTGAAATAGAATTCTATGACTTTTTTCTAAAACATTACTTATTTTCTTCTATGCTTTGTCTCTCAGATTTAAGGATTTTTGTTTACTTTTGAGTTGTTGAATTCAGCAATTTGTTAAAAAAAAAGAATAATTTTTTAAATTGAAACATAAACTTTTCTCCCTTCCTGACCCATTTGTAATTGTAAAATATTTGTGAGCATTCTTATTTTGTGACAATGGTTATTTGCATAAGTTCAATAATATAATAGTATCTGTTGCCTTCCATCAGAAATTTAATTCTTATGGGGCTTTGTGCAAATAACAGAACAAATTGAAATTAACCCTTTTTTTTCCAAATAGGTTAGTTTATACTTCTTTTTAGTAAAAGAGGGGATGAAGAGAGAAAAGTTTCAGAAGAAAATTACAGTACACTTGTCACTAGATTCTAGCTTTGCCCATACTTTAAGATCTTCTGTGAATCAATAAACTGTGAAAAAAACTTTAGTATGGGAGGGAGCGAGGGAGGGAAAAGGGGAAGGAAAACATGAGTAAAAGCATGCTTAATTGACAAAGATGAGAAGCTATTTGCTGATAATAATGCGTATGGTAATATCCTTGTCTTGACTGACATGCAAGGTATTTGGGTTGGAAAATGAAATGTATACTGGAAAGACATGATAAAATGTAAATAAAAAAAGAAAGAAAAGAAAAAGCAAGAACAACATCAAACAAACAAAAACGATGTTGCTTATCTAAACTGAAAAGGCATTTGTCACCATTTTGAGATTATGCAGTTCCGGCTATTCGTTTAATGGATTTAATTATGCATCATTGTTGTGAGTTTACAGTTATTCTGGTACAGGACAAAAAATTATTTTTAATGGAAATCTATAATAACTTGAAAGAGTTTACGAATGCCAAGTAACAATTTTTGCAAGCACTATTTCATACAACTTGCTTTCACCCTGACCGTGACTACATCCTGGATTATGGTCCTATTTCTCAGACAACAGACTTTAGAGATGTGAAGTAAATTGGTGAAGGTGAGAGATTTAAGTTATGGCGAAGGCAGATTTAAAACTTAATCCTTAATTTTCAAGGCCATTGTTCCTTCTAATACCCCCCCAGGGTATCTTCTCATACTTCTTAATAAGCAAAAGCTTTGTTTTTTCTAGATCCATCATCTTTGTACTGTATACAGGGTTTCATTTAATTTTTTTTTTTTTGGAGGGAGGGGTTTTCCCTTAAGGG